GCGTACACTTTATAGAAAAATACTAATTTAAAATTTTTTCTTAAGAAAATATATTTTTAAGTAAGGAATTATTTATGTATGTTGACTAGAAGTTTAAAATATGGTTTAAAGTTATGTTTAAAAAATATTACATGCATTAAAACCTTGGGAATTTCTGGAAAATTTGCGTTTCTTAATTGGTTTTAAAGTTTTTGTTTTGTTTTACTCAATAAATAAATGCAAGTTTTGGTCATGCTTTCGTTGCATTTGAAAGTTTAATCACTATTTTTAAAACAAAAAAGAATCTTTGGATTCAATGAATCGTGATAAAAAAATGAGTGCAATAGTTTGTATACGTACCTTTTTGCGAAGGCAGTCCAGAATTGGCTGCATTGGGAACAAGTATGAGTAAAAAATGTTATCAGCAAATAGCACCTCTTAGTGAAGGAGACACATGTATATAAGCAATAAACTTTATAATTGAATGAAATTATTAAGTGTTAAAAATTAAGATTGAAAAGTATCTTGATACTTTAATGTATTATATAAAATTTTGAAGTTCTGTTGAATTAAATATTCTTGAAAGATTCATTTGTTCGAATCATTAAACTTTCACAAAAATCATTGTCTGAAATTTGATTGTTATATTTTAAATAATATATATATATACATATATATATATAAGAATTTTATTTCGGAAAAAATTTTAGATTAGAGAATATTTTACATAAAAATTATTAAATGAATAGTACTGAACAGATAATTCGTCTCGCACTTCTGGCAACGTGGATGTCCAATTTCTTAGTTTTTGAAATTTAAACTATAAGGTGAGGAAATTCCTGTATCAAATATTTGGACAAACTCCTTACAATTGCGGCTCATTTAAGGGCAAACCATCAACCACATGGTTAGCCAAACCGCAATGGAGCTTGAACACATTATTTATTAAGCACTTGTAAATTTTCAATTAGCATTTTGATGGGTATAATCCAGGATCAGTATACGAATTGGTCAAACAACGGCGGGATATTATAAATTAAAGAAAATTGATTAATATTATTCTATGAGGTAATATAACATAAATTAGTGTTAAAATAGCATCCTATCAAAGTAATGTCTTACACACATTTTACTTGAGGCAATAGATTTAGTTTTAATAATGCAATTCATGTATTTTTTTGTTTTAAAAAAACAAATTTTGTAATGTTACTTTAAAGGAAAAAATGCAAAATCGATAGAATATTTGCAGCTTTCAATACTTCTAAATACGTAGAAGCTGCATACGATTTTCAATTTCGAAGAGTTTGGCTTTATCACAAAACTAAATAATGATTAAATTTAAATTCTTTATTCTTTTATTAAATTATACGTTTGTGTAGCTTTAGTATTAATGAAAACAGAATATGAACTAGGTATTAATAAATTACAAATAATAAAAATTTAACAAAGAAAGCTTATACTGTATATTTAGGGATTCAAAAATCTTGACGTTTCACTTTGTAATAGGAAATTATACAAAAGGAATTGGCCATCAACCAATGTTTACTGAAAAATTAGGTAAAAAGTTAAAATTTTAATTTTACTATCTAGCTGTATTTAACATCTTAGAGTCATTAGAAAATTTATACTGATGAATAAGATAAAATTACTTTGTCTAGCGTACACTTTATAAATAAAGAAATTTTTTTACGTATTCTAATATTTGTTAAAAAAAGAAAGTTTTTGAATAATTTTTCTTAAAGAAACATGAAGAACTATAAATTTTGGTTCTTTTTTTGCAAATTATTATGGTAACGTTAAGAAAGTTTTATAAATATGGTTCTAACTTTTTAAGTCGAAGTTTAAACCTATCTAAAACCGCCATTTGAGATCAATTTGGCCTCTTGGGAATTTGGTGTCTTTCCAAAGTAAATGACTTTTTAATTGAGGGATAGTGTTTAAAATACAATATACAAGGGTTTTCAAATATTAGTTATTTTACTGTCGTAATTACAATAAAATAATGTAGCGTAGATTATTCTTTAGTAGAAGCGTAAGTCATACGAAAATAAACGATATACGTACACAGCAGGATTTTTTTATAATAAACAGATTTTAGTACTGGCATACGATAGTATATCCACGTGACCCTAAACTGACAGCAAAATATCGACAAATTGAGCTTTAGTTTCTTTTATAGTTATCAGAATTTTTATTCTGTTTTTTGCTATGTTAAAAAACGTGTTTCTATTATTTTATAGGCAGGAATTTTTGAGTTAGAGGTAATTTGATGCACGAAATACTAAATCATTGCTTTTCATAAGCACAGCGATAAACTCCAGCAATGCGTAATTAGGGTGAGGAAAGATTTCTCTAAAACTATCTAAGCAATGAAATTGGTAATATCACAAACGATGTAAACTAAATACGAGTGATTTGCAAGCTTGAGATAGTGTTTATCCTTAGCACCTTCTCTGTCATTTCGTCTACTCTATCTAATGTTACCCACTTTTAGAGTTAAATCATTTGAACTAATTTTTTGTTGTTCTGTATGATTGCATCACGCTATTTTAACACAAAGTCCAATATTGTCATTTAAAAATTGTATGCGAATTTCTATCCTAAATATTATTAATTGTTTGTCTTAAAACCAAGTATTCAATTTTGCGATAAAATTGCATTTATTATCGAAAATCGAATAATTTAATTCCATACAAATAATAATATTTGTTGAAGTAAATGGGATTAAATTACATTGACACACTCCGTGTGATCACGTGACAATGGACAACAAAAGACCATACTGATCTTTTGTACACAGGACAAACATATAAAAACAACACAACACATAAAACGGACACACACATATAACACATATACAAGTTAGAAATTAAAAATAACAATGGTAGAATCTCTTTTGTTTTCTGCTGGAATTTTGTTAAAATATGAAAATTGTAAAGATTTATTGGTATACAAAATTATGTTTTGTTTGCCTTAATTTATTCATAAAACTAATATTATGAGAGAAAAAATCAAGCATCTGGTAATTCAAGTTTTTAAAAAGCATAATAAAATTGTATATTCATGAATCTTTAGTCCTTTCGAAAAATTCAATTTTTATTTCAATTTCCGAAATGTGGAAAACGCATTTCTTTAGTTTTTGTCCTTTTTCGTTTTACTTTTACAAAATATTTCATTTCTGATATTTTAAATTATATATACATGTAATAATAGAATAGGATAACATTTATGCGCTTATAGTATAATGTATCATTAGAAATGCTAAGGAATGGTATTATTTGAATAATATAGTGTCTTTTTTTGGTTTAAAATTTTAAAAAATAAAATTATATCTTTAATTTTCTTTTCAAGCAACACACATAAAGTGAAATAAAATCTTTAGTCCTGAAATTAAAGTTTTTTGAAACTACCATTACATTCAGATCAAAAGCTTTATTGCTGCTAAGACTCATAACTATTTCAAAGGTAATTTTCTATGTTAACTCTTAGTGGCAAAGCATCATAATTTCAACGAAGATAGAAGATGACTCATTATTACACAAGGTCTCTAAATTAACCAAAGTTCTTCCCCAGATTTTACAGTACACGTTGATCAAAATTAATTTTCACGTGACTACTGAGGACAGAGATGAAAAATTGTCAAGTCTTCAGCGAAATATTTCCATTCCAACGTTCAAATTCTAGAAGCATAATGATTCATATTTAACTTTATTTTAGTGCATTCTCTTTCCTTACAATTCTACCACATCATTACTTAAAGCAAGGCCATAAATTTAGGAATGCAATGTTGTTTACAAGAGTATATTCTGTGAAAGGTCACAATTATTAAACAGTGCCATATATTTCAGGTGAATAACATAAGACAAAGTGGCAAGGATTGTGTGATGTGAAACATTACTATTTAAATCTAAGTTTACTAAGAGTTTAACGTTTCTAAAGCTTTAATTGTATTCTGTACTTGTTTGTTTTAATCTCATAATTAACTTCTCTAGGTTTGTTTAAGGAAAATTTTACTAAAAAAAAAAATAAATAAATAAATAAATAGAGGAACTAAAGTTTTTACAGCCAGTACTCTGAAATGAACTAATTTTTTTAAATAACCGTATGTATTTAAAAATAAATGCTTAAGCAAAAGCATAAAAATTAATGAACTAAATTATTGTAAATTAATGCCAAACATAAATGATACGAATAAAATACAAGAGTCATTTTTAAGTAAGAACCGCGTGAAGTAAGAGAAACTTTATTTAAGAATGTAATAATTGTATCACAAACTAAAATATGACGATTTATTCATTTTTTATCATAGTCACCATTTACATTGAAGCAGTTGTCAAGTTGTGGTACCAAATTTTTAAATTTCATCATCGAAAAACTAAGTCACCGTACCTTTAAACAACTTAGTAAGAGTTTCTTTCAACATGCCATCATTTTCCGAGCACTTTTCACCAAGAAGTTCAAGTTTCGATAACAGATGAAAATCTGATGATGCTAAGTCAGGGTTGAACGGTGGATGATCCAGTACTTTCCATTCATGACAATAGGTTGTCCAGACCGTTCTTTATCATGAACATTTGTTCTTTAACATAAACATTAAAACGCCAACATCATTTGCGCACATTTCCATCAGTCATTACACCGCAACCATAAACTTTAACTAGCTGCTGGTGAATTTCAGCTGTACAAACTGAACGCACAACTGTACCGAATAACTGAACGCACTTCATGATTGACATAGTGACAAACAAACATGGTGATTGACACTGGTGACTGAAACTGATTGACATGGTGACAAAAAAAGCAGTATAACTATGAAAACAACACTGGCAGAGACGTGACACGTAACGGCGGGATGGTGAGAGACTAGATGAATGTTGCCGACCTTGAACTGACGTTTGACAGGATAAGCGGATAAGATGCGCAATCTGTTCTTACTTCAAATATGACGCTCGCAAATACAACATAATTTTAAATGGATATATGCGTCATGTCAAAAAATATGAAATTTTATAATTTTGCATCATGAACTTGGTTTATGCATACGATTTTAAACATTGAATCTTAAATCTGTGAGCATCATTTTTAACCTTAACCTAACAATTAATCAGCATGATAAATGTTCCTTTTAACTTACAGATTAAACTTACTTTCTGGGCTTTCAGGAAAGTTTTTAACTTCAAAAAGAACTTTAATAAAAGTCCAAAACATTAATGCTTTGAAAGAAGCTAAATTATGAAAGATTTCTATTGTCCTGTTTCAGAGACATCTAAGAAATTTAGTATTTCGAAAAGATTTATGTGAATTTTTTAAAAAAAAATAAAATTCAATGAATAAACCTAATGATTACCAGCATTTTTATTTGAGGTTCATTTTTAAAAGAGTAAATTTTTTTAAATATGCATAGTTTTAATTTAAATTGCTTTTTAAATATGTAGGTTTTTAGCTTATTTTATTTTAAAATATACTTTAAGGTGTACTTTAAAGTAATATAGTTGTAAGTGAACTCAATGATTTAACCTAACGATTAATCATGATGATAATTGTTCATTTTAACTAACAGATAAAACTTATCTTCTGAGCTTAAAAATAATTTTCCCTTCATACGTTATTTGATAAGGATTACGTAATAATATTTTCATCAAATAATTGTATTTTTGAAAGAAGAAATTTTTTTTCTAAAGAAAAACAACAGAAAATCAAAAAAGTTGTGTTACAAAGACAGTTCAGTTATTAAGTATTTCCTATTTAAGCGACTTCTTCGATCGTATTCTATGCATTTTTAAAAGAATTTATGTGCATTTCAAAATAAAATTATAATTAGAGGAATTTTAAATTTTATATTAAAAAAATACTGGAGTGTTGTAAGATGATATTAAGAAAAATTAAAAAAATGCTTGATTTAAAAATTGTTATAAAATATTAAAATTCTCTAAAACTATAATTGTCATGCTAGGGAACTATTATTAACTACGGCATTTTATTCATCTTTGAAATACAAAACACATAAATAATTAAATCTGCACACTCTGAATCGAGAACATCTCACCTCTCTGAATATTCATCTCTGTGAGCATAGCTTTGCACACTGTCTTCTTCTATTAAAAATTTCATTTTCTGATAAAATGTAGCAGTAACAGCTGGTGGCTGCTTTCGAAGCAAAATATCCAGAGGATCTGGAGCTGAAAGGCACATTAGACTGTCTTTACATACATCCCTGATGCAACACTCACTGTCAGCGCAATCCACTAACCCGTCTGAAAAAAAGAGTAATGCCTTTTTAATGTGACGTATCAGCAGTTTTTCTTAGCATGCTTAATAAGCTGTTAAAAATTCAAAATTTGGTTAATATGAATGCAATGTAAAATTTGTTTTATTTATCTAAAAACCATAGATTTTTTTTAAAAAGAAAATGATTGATGTAAATATATACTGAAGTAGAAGTGTTTTAAGCAGGAAAAGTTGATGTTGGATAAATGTAAATTTTATTAGAGAATAAAATAACTGAAGGTTAAGAGATTAATTTATGTAGCTTTCCTGTTATTGTCTTTTAGAATACTAACTATTGGAAGGCATTTGTAAAAAATTTCGGGTCAAATTACAGTACACAGTGGGTGAATCATCCGTAAAATCCCTTTCCACAGTAAAATATCATACGGTAATTATTATAGTACTATTTATTTAATTCAAGTGATTCAGTGATTTTACGGTAATTATTACTGGAAATATTATGATATATCACATTTTTTGTTTCGTATTACACAAATTAATAGATAAAATGGATTAAATGGCAAATATAAATTTTGTGGTGAGTGCTGGTACTTTTAATCGCAACTTGATTAGGAATTTTTTATTGACCTTTTGTAGTTTTGTAAAGGCAACATGGTAGATGTAAGTATTATATGGTTTCATTTATCACAATTTTGTCTCGTTACGGTAAAATGGAGATTTTTAAAGAAATTACTGGAAATTATTTAACATGAATTGTTTTTTATCGATAAAACTTATTGTTTTCTTAAACATTATTCAGTTTAAAGTTGTATTAGCAGAGGAAATCAATTCTTTCTTCATTTTTTTAAAAATTTTTATTTTTAAATGAAACCGGAAAGTTTTATTACAGATATGACTTTATATGGCAAGCAAACGAGGCTGTCCGTATAGAATTGTTTGAGTTTCATTCGTGGCAAAAATTACTGTTTTGTGTTCCACTAAAGTGAATAACATGTAAACATGTAACATGTTTTTCAAAATAATTTAAGAATTCCATAAAGTACAGAGAGTGCTTATAATTTTAATAAAAATTTATCGTTGTAGTGAAACAATATAAATGAAACAAAACAAAAATTAACATATATAACATTTCTGAAGGCCATTTTTATAACAACTTGATAATAAATATTAAGCTTTTATTTAAGTGAAAAATAGTAAAATTTTTATTATTAAAAACCTGAGATCGAAGATATTTAATTGATAAGCCATTTTAAAACAACTTTTCCTTTGTGGAATAATATATAATTTTAAATGTTTCTATACACTTGTTTTTCTAGTCTTTAAATATTTTAAGGGAGTAGCGCCTGTTTATAATTATAAATGTTAGAAACTTAAAAATTACTTTGTTCACGTAAATTTATTAATGCTAATCTTCTCTCCATATTTAGTACTTATGTAAGATTATTTCTTTATCTTACTGTCTGAATTTTATAAATATCAGCAATTATTTAATAATAGAACAACCTCATTTTTAATCAAGATTCAGTTCTATACATGAACTCTGATTTATAAATTGAATATTAACAACTGGATTTAAAATTATTTTTTCATTAATACATTCCTCTTATTTATCCCTCCTAATCGTCCTCATTTATAAATTTTATTTTATTTTTTGTGTATGTTTTCCTCGAACATGTGGAAAAAAATATCATCATAATCAGATTATGGTAAAATTTACTATGTTTCTGGGGCTATGGGAACACCAAAAAACTCAGTACTTTTTACCAAAGTGTTTGGTAATAGTTTTCGTAAAATTAATTTTTCAATATGGTTTAACACTAAGTCATAGAAGTTTGTAGTTGCAATAAAATTTAGTAATTTCATCAAGATACTTTCAAAGCATGGAACAAAAAAAATATTCAGTTAAATTAAATTTTAAATTTCGTATCTTTTACCAGATGTGCGGTAATAGGAAGGATAATACCCCACTGCTCCAAAAAGGTAATGTTATTTTATTTGTAATAAATTCCAGAGGACTTTCTTGCCATGTGGTATTGCTGCTCTGTTAACTTCGTAGATAAAGTTGTACCGAAATTGGCTATAACACTGAAAGTATACTTCGGCTGTCTTCTCAAATTTGAGCTAGCTGTTTTGCAAATTGAAAAGAGTTTTTAAGGCATTCCTTATATTAACAAAGAAATCCACTTATGTACGTGAATAAATGAATAAAATTGACCAAATAAATATATAAGATATATTAAATAAATAAGAGTAAATAAATAAGTTGGATGTAAATGATAGATTAATTAGACATAATAGCTTGATATATTTGAGTTTAGGATCTTAAAATTTTGAACCATCATTCATTTCCTTTTATCCTTTGTGTTAATTTAGTAAGATATAAGAAAAAAGAAATAATTAACAGACTTATAACTCCTATCAACCTCTCAAATAAATTGCTGTTTTAAATACACCATAGAAGTGTAAACAGAGTAGTACCATTTGATTTAGTAAGAAGCACAGACATCGAAAGGTTTAATTAACCAAATAAATGGTAAAAGGAGAGGCAGTTCTGAATACTGTTTCTTTAATCGTATCGTGATATTTTAGATCAAGGCATAAAAACCATTTATTTGGTAAAATTTTACTTTTCAGTTTTGTGTTTGCTGCTAAATGTATGTTTTTATGTCAAGAGCTATAATTTATAAAACCATTATTCTAGCTAGCATATAAACGGAAAAACTGCTAAATGAATGGTTCAAACGCCATACATTTTAGTTTTTTGATTTTATTATCAAAATTAAGTATTTTTTTCTTTTTTTATATTCGAAACGTTATGTTTTTTAACGTCAAGACATAAAATATAATGTAAATGGTAAATTTCCTGTGTATCATTTTACAGATTAAATTTTTAAATAAAATACTTAGTTTTATAAGAACTCAAAACCATTTGACAGTTTATGTAACGTTATGCTGCCAAAATGACTTGTTTTTTATGTGAAAAAAGTATTGCTTAAAAAAAAACATCATGTCTGTTCCATCGGCAATGCAGAGCTGAAAATCTTGGATCACAACTTAGCATCAAATTTCCAATATAGAGGTATAAGCCATATGTATTTCTTAACATTTCAATTTCTCTACGTCCCCAGAATTGCCTTACTCGATAGATATACAGCTCGCGTATATCATGCAAATGTTTCCGCGTTTTCAGTAGCCGCGCTCTTGACTTAGTTACTGTCGTAGCACAATCCATTATTCATCAAGGCAACGAACGTGAGCACAAGGTCTCAGTGCGGGTTAGTGTATAATACTAGGCAGGGTAACGTACATGTTTCGGACTCCCACGGGGGAGGAGTTCGGATTGTGGGCTTCATTTTGGTGCAGAGATTCTGATAATCGCTTGCAAGTGGTATATAATACCTCATTTAAGGGTATAATTTCGTATTCATGAGATTGTAGTTTCTGAGAATGACCAGTGGTACTAAATAAATTATTTCATAAAAAAGTGATTAATAAATACATCGGGAAGCAAAATAAATCTTGTAGGTAGATCTAGCTTAATATACAGACTTATATTGCATAAATACCAGTGCTTTTCAAATTTTGTTAGATTATCACTATCATAATTAGACACTGAACTAAAAGCCTGGTGAAAATTACCAGAATACGATTTTAATCGTGTTATCGAATTAATCGTGTTTCTAACTCTACGGTAACATCAAAAATGCTCTCTAAATTTTTGGAAGCGCTTTGGTAATGAATTCTGTGAAATTAACGATTAAATATGATTTTGTAATTTGCAATAAAATTTGGTAAATGTAGTAAAATTGGGTAAATTTTCATGATTCTTTAGAGCATGACATTAAAACTATTTATTTGGTAAAATTTACTTTTAAATTTTGCATTTTTTTTCTAAATATGTGATAATAAAATATATTGCTTTTGTAATAAAACCTTCAGTAAACTGTTGCCATATGAACTGAAAAATCACTAAATTATGTGTTTAAATACCTTATATTTTAACTTCATTAACCAAAATTATTATTATTTTTTTTAATTCAAAAAGTCATTGCCATAACATTCAGCAATTTTCCCACAAGTAAATCAAAATTTGTCCATGATCGAAGAAACCTAAATGCTAATTTCCCAAATATGCATTTTTCATTTAAATCATATACTTAAGTAGCTTTAAATAAATTAACCCATTGTAATTTAATGTTAAAAAAAGTTTTAAGACAGATGCTTATTTGACTCTACAGTAATACAAAAAAAATTAAAAAACTATCTTTTTTTCTGTGATTAATATGATAAATCATTAAAACTGATATACAGAATTTTCATATGACCTGACAATGGTATAAGAAAATCAAAAAATTGCTATTAAATAACAAAATGACCAATTATGCATAAAATAATGAAATTTTAAAAACATTAAATATTTTCGAAAGAGACAATTCATTAGTCTTCAAGTGGATGAATTTGAGTATTATGTCTCAGTGCGGGTTCTGGTGCATTAATAATAAAAGTGCATTAATAAAGATTTTTTTATTCAGTTTCGGATTACCTTAAAAGTTTATTTATGCTCCCTTTTTATTGCAGCAGTTTAGTAAAAAATTATATAGTTTCTAATTTTACATGTGATATAATTTTATATATTACATTTCATTCGTTCAAAGAGCTACGCAATCAAACTAAATAATGTAGAATCATAAGATGTGTGTCTTGCCCACTTATTCATCTATTGTTCATCCATAAGTGAGCATGATACGCATCTTTCCCATCCATCTCCTGAACATTCAAGGAAATAGCTTTGATAGTTTTTCAAAATTGGAAACTTAAAATGTCAGCTTGATTATAACACAAACATCAATCCTTCAAGCGAACTAGTTTACATATAGTTGAAATGTACAAAAAGTTTTTTTTTTTTACATAATTCACTTTTTTGTTAATTCTTACAGTTAATTAAATAGAAACCTTTATTATTTTTCTATTGAATGATTGAATGATTTTCCACCTAAATATTAAAATGTAATCAATGTCAGAAAGT